TGAGGACCTTTACTGCCACATGAGGTATAAGTCTCTCCTCTAAGCCACTCTTTCTGTCATGTGTTCGCAGGGGCAGTGTTTCTTGGAACTGAATCCCACCAATTTTATTCAGCTATTCCATAAAAAGCACTTTTAGGTAGAAATAAACACAGTTTATAGCTGAATTCTGAGTTTTCTGTGACACTTGACAAATTAGAAAAGAATCACCTTTCCTTCGTGGCTCAGGGAGTTCTGAAACAGCTTGCCATGCTGTAAATCCCTATGAACATGGGGTATCCCTTTTGGCATGCTTGTGTCTGGCGACCTGAAAGAAGTAACATGAATCTACCTGAACATGCACTAGAGTTGTAACTGATGATGTGTATTAACTCATTTCAGTGATAAATTTGCCTTTGCAAAAATCAGTGTCAATTTTCTTAACAATTAATCCCAAAGATTTTTTTTTTTAGTTAAAACAAAAAAAAAAAGTTTGCCCTAACTCTGAAATTATTTGTGCATTATTTCACCTGATCAAAACAAAAAGAAGGGAAACAATAAAATGATTTTTGTTCCAAGTAATATTATACATAATAAAAAGCACCTTTAGCTAGTAAAATAGTTCGTAGGAACCATTCCAGCTGAGGGAGTAGAACTCTGTGTGTGGCCTTAGCTGGCATATGATTTGAGGAGATGGAAAACTGAGTTAACAGCTTCTTTTACTGTCTCTGTAGCTGCATAGGATGAAAACTTTGGTTTCTCTGAGGATCAAGGGCCACCTGTTTTAAAGGATATAGTTTTCAAACATATAGTTAGTATTTGACTTTCAAGTTAGGTATCAAACATTCCAAGTCATTCTACAGTAGTGCATTCATACCCAAGATACTATGTATAAGTCACGCTGATTTGGGTTTGAAGAATATACAGAAGTTGTCTTGAAAGAGAGAGCTGGGAGCAGTGCAGTTTGTTTAGAACACTCTTTCTCTGTTCCATTGCTGTTCTATAACAGAACTTGATAGTCAAAGATACAGCTAAGCGATTATTCTGAAATTCTCTGCCCAGAAAATAAGCCACGACCAAACTCCGTCAATTTTCACAGATGTAGGTGTCAGGCACTGAGTTTATGTTTTTCAGCCTGTTTTGCCTTTAGAATTTAGTCTACCAGTGTTTTTGGAAGAAAAAGAAAATGAAGGAAGTGGCAAGCAGAGATAATCATTTGTTTCTCTCCCCAAACTGCAGCAATCATCCTCTGGGTAGCCACGAGAGTCTTCGCAAGTCAGCCACCTGCATTCAGCTTCAGCTACATATCACTGCTAATTTGAAGCAAAGTTTGGCTCGAACGGTATGTTGTCTTTTTTTTAATCCTCTCCCTTTCTTTCAACCTACCTGAAGGAGTAAAATTCCTCCAATGTTTTTATGTAACAATCTCCAGTAATAATCAAAGGGAGATTATTTGCTTTCCTGATCACGCATATATTAGTGCTGAACTCCAGCTGAAACATTCTGGGGAATAGCTCGGTCTTGTTTCTGTAGTAATGCGCCACTCTAGAGAACGCTCAACTGAAAAAAAACAAAGCTTACCTTTTTAAAAAAATTCAGTTTATCAGACTTGAGTGATGCTAGTGATTTCAGTTTGTCGAGGAGTTGCTGTTTTTTATTGGTCTATGTTTTGAAATATAACAATGGGAAAATCATTTAAAATATCACATAAGATGAATCAGGTCTGGATTCTCAACATTATCACTGAAATTCAGAGTAGGTTGATAAAAGCTGGAATCACAGTTTGTCTCTGTGCGTGCTTGTGTGTGTGTGTGCGCATGCACACGTGTGTATGTGTATTTGTACACGGATGTATGTCCTTACAGAAAACATTGACTTATCACAACTTCAGTCCAGATAGATTCATATTCAGATTACTTGAGATTAAGCAACCTCCGAAGGGGTTACTGAGCTTTAGTGACACTAATCTGTGTTCCTAAATGTGAGCTTTATTCCCAGTGGAGCACCTTGAATTACTTCCAGCCCAAACTTCACAGTACAGCAGAGCCTTTGCTGTTCTAGGCATTATTCACTGGCAGTAGCTGACTTTATTCACAAATAATTCCAATTGCATGCTTTAACTACATATGCTGTCAGCCTGAATTTGTCAATATATAGGTCAGATAAGAGATTTCTAATAGAATAGGGGCTTTCTTTTCATTTCTGTTATGTGTCACAATGAAAAACATCAGATTCAGTGCAATTTGTTTTTGGAGCATTTAAAAAGGGACTAGAATGAGGCCAAATACGTTATATGTTTATTTTTTTTTCTATTGAACACATTAACTATTCTATAAATGCAAGTGGAATAATCAAGTGCTAATGCATGCTTTAGTGGCTTGAATTATTTGCACTCTTAACTGCTAAAATTCATTTAATTATTTATTTTTGAAAACCATTGATTCTGCTTGGTCTGATATTGTCCAGAAGAAAGTAAATTAGGAAACCTGGAAGCTTCCATCACCAGGTCACCTCTTCAAAAATGATTCAGACCAGTGACTTGCCAGCTGCTCGTTGTCAGTCTAGAGAAAATGATCTGATGTTTGAGTATGCCCTCAGAAGGGGGTGAGCAAGTATCCATCTCGTGTGTCCTTTCTCATCTCCATATTGTGTCATTACAGCCACAAATGAACAATATTCGTGTTCAGTCACCTATGGAATTAGTTCTGTCTTGTCATGATACCTTGTTGTCATTGAACTGCAAGTTGTTGAGCTCCAGGCAGGGATCACTGGGTAATTTCCATTGTCTGCACTGGAATTGAGATAAAATGGTTATCATATTCCTTTTTGGTCTTAGATCTGTGACAAGACAGCCTGTGTTAAGAATCTGGAAAATTTAATTTTTCCATGCAGTGGTGTCAAAGAAAGCTGGGCTTAGGAGGAGTAGAGTGAAGGTGATTAGATATAATTATGAACACACATAACTCTGTAATTGTGGAAAAGTAACTTACCTTTTCAAGGTCAGTGTCTCTATCTATTAAATGGAATAATATATTCTATTGGCCCTTTTGCTGGACAGCTGCAGGCTTCCAGTGTTTCCTGCCCTGAGAAATTAGTGACATGAATTAGAAGTCTGATGAGAGTGCTGTTTGTTACTTATATGCGTACAGCATAAGCTGAAGGTATTATTTATATGCATACACTGAAAAGAGGTAGCCTCAGATGACTCCCCTGCAATCTCTTCTTCCAACTTCCAAGCCAATGATTGATTCTCTACAAATTACTCTGCACTTAAACTAAAAAAAAAAAAACAAAAATAAGAACAACAAACTCTAGAGCAAATGACCTATTGACTGTATGTAGCTCTGCTATTGCTATACATCTTAAATCATCTGCTTTGCAGCCTAATGATGTGAACAGGATTCTCTCCTGAATTTTAAAAACGTGTTTGTACGCTAAGGAAGCAAAGCTCTATACGAACACTATCTTGAGACTGTCGTCCTAATCATTCTTGCTTACCTTACATAACGCCATTGAACTCGAGATGCATAGTTAAAAATAACTCTCATATATATAAATCATTATTATTCAGGATAACATAATTGTCCCATACTGCACAATGCCTAGAGAGGAGGCAGCATCCAAGGAATACTTGCTTCACCTTTCTAAGTAATGTGAAGGAGCTTAGGAATTAAGATTTTGGGTAATTTCATAAAAGTTATCCCCTCAACCAAGCTATTTACCTGTAAGCAGGTAGAAGGCTGCATCAGTTCTCTCTCCCTACCGCATATAGTAAATGATAATTTGTTGCTCTTGTATCACCATGCCTTCAAAGTATTGCTAGGCACCTGAATGTCACAGCTGTGTTAGTGATCATATTGTGTCTAATAGCCAGTTGTCCTTGGAAGGAATAGAAATACACACACTAAGCAAGAGGGGCAACAGATCTGATACATGTAGTTATTAACTAATTGCTTATAGTTCAGAGTTTAAGTGAACTCAGATCTCTGAACTGAATTTCCAGCTTGAGAGCAGAAAATTCTGCACATAAATTTTTTTAATTCCACACCTGGATACTTTGATACCCCATAATATTAATAGACATCATCAAGGACTGAAGAGTCACATTCAGGCCTTTCAGCATCAAATTTCCTAATAAATGTTGTGCTCTGCCTCCTACTTTATTTCTGTGAAGTTCATGCACTCAATAAAGAATTATTAAAATAATCTATTTAATTAAGTTTAATAAAAGAACAGAGTTTATACATTTTAGACAATAACTAAATATTCACAATTGTTTTGTGAATGCACCTGAAAAACTCTTTAAAGTGAATATCTGCTTTCTTTCTTCTGTGGGAAGCTGGTATTCTGTGTTATGATGTATCCAAAAAAGAGGAAGTTGTCTTGAACTGAGGAGTTAAAAGCAATAAATTTGGCCTGGGGCTTTTCATGAAATCACAAGCTTTTGAGCCAGGGGATGACCTTTAATTTGATTTTGGTTTTTTGAGATATGAGATTTATCAGCCATAACACCCTTGAACAAAAGCCTTTTAATACCTGAATTTTCAAGATGCTAGATTCCTGCTAAACCTCCAAAGAAAGCCTGTACAGAGAACAAAAGGTTATCTTTACATTATAGAAACATATTGAATGTCAGTTTTATATCATCTAACCAAACAAAGAGCATCTGCTGACATGAGTGTCAGTTCTGCATCTTGTAAATTTTTCTCCATGCATTGAGATCTTGAGAATGACATTAAACATGGAAAAAATACAATAGTCCTCTTATCAAATGATGATCCAGTTTATGGACACGGTTGTGCAGTACTCTGAATAATGAATGCCAGATTTGTTTTGACACTGTACTTCCCGTCTATCCTACTCTGTATTTTATCCTAAGAGGCAACTGTTAAGCACAATCTCCACAAGTTGTAGTGGGTCCGAAATGTTATCTTCCTAGAAGTTGGGTGGTGTTCAAGAAGAGGTGCGCGGTGGAATAACACAGACGTACAAACCTTCATCCAGGCACCATTTCCAGAGAGTGCTCTGCCTATTCCCAGAGACCCCTGTTTCTTCAGAGTTGTCCTCACATGCTTAATATCCAAGTAAAGTGTGAATCTTTGTAGTGGTGTGGCAGCAAAGAACACTTATTGCTTTCTGAGAGCATCACTTGCTTCCAGAAAGGGATTTCTGGACGAAAGCAGCCAGCAAGTGATATTTCCTGAGAATCGAAAAACATTTTTACTTTCATGTGTACCAATGTTAATGATGTCAATATTTTATCAGAGATATCAAATTAAATATTAACATCCAAGCATAATCACAAACTGAGAAAAGGGAAGTCAGTGGTCTATCATGATAAAAAGTGGTTTTCCGTTATTTGAATGTATGTGTCCTTTTCAGAGGGACAATGAAGTACCTCAGATAGCAGAAAGCCATTTGTCTGTGTTTAAGTATCCTTTAAAATTGTGCTACTATAAAAATGCTTCATGTTCTATTAATATGCTCCAAGCCTGCTTCATCACTGTTGCAGTTTGACAGGTCTAAATGAGGTTTAATATACTGCAGTGCTCTGTGGAGGCCAGGAGCAGAGTGTGAGCAGCTCTTGACGTTTCACATTTCAGAAATAGATACAATTACCAGGTAGAATAATTACTAACAAAGAAACAAAAATAGTCTTTCAGGCAGGTAACAAGCTTGGAAGATAAATTAGCAGTGTTCAGGCTGTTAGAAAACATTTGTTGTCTCAAAGAATTTGTGAAACTATAATTAATAACCTACAATAGGACTTAACCAGGAATGGTGACATTTTAAGATATGTTCAAGTGAATTATTGATCACCTCTTTATGATAACTGACATAGCTGTGAAAGCTTCAGGCCATGAGGTTACTTCAGGATACTAATAATAGCAAAGAATATTAACAGCTCAAGAGCGGACATAAGTCACAGACCCAAAGTTTTCATCCAGCTCCGGGCAATACTTGCGACAGGGCACTCGTATCAGAAAGGAAGGGTCCTGCTTGCAGACAGGAGCATGAGCAAGTCTGTCAGGCTCAGAGGAAGCCTAACGGAAGAGGCACAGGCAATGGTGCTCTGACAACTGCAATGTTTCATCTCGCTCTGGACCCAGCTCTTAGGGCAGCTGGGCATTCTTTCGGATGTTCTAACATCCACTTCAGCCACACTGAATTCAAGGATCTGAGGTAGTCTAGACTGATGTCATAAAGACTATTTGTTGTTTTTGGGTTTTTTTGTTTTTTTTTTTCCCCCCCGGAATCTTGCAGCTTGATTGGTTTTACAGGGTACTTGAAAAACACAGATTTAGAGATAGTTTATGAAAAATAAATTTCTTTCCTTCTGAATTCATATAATAGAAAAAGATGGGAAAATAGTGCGTTCTTAAAAAGACAGGCACGGACCTTAAGACTTTTAGCATGCAAACAAGCTTTCTTCGTACAGCTCAGGCAGTGATATACGTGTGCAGCTACCATTTGGTTTTGTGAATTTTTTGCCCTTATGTAGGAGAATTTGCCTTGTGATCTGTAGGAACCTTTAGAGTTTTGAAATTTCAGATATGTTACTTTGTAGAAATCTCCACTAAGGATGTTGATAACTAATGTCACAGGAGAACATCAATATCTTTGGCAGTCATAGATAATCATCTCCTATATGTGTTTATGTGCTAAATGATTCACATATACCCAGCTTTTGCCATGCTCCATCAGAGCCCCTGAAGCTTCTGGGTTCCTTTCAATCACACATATCTGTAATTTTCTCTCTAAACTCCAGCGCTCCCTCCTTCAGTCAGTTTTGCATTGTTTCTAAGATCTTTATAAAAATGCAGGATGCGCTTTGCAGAGCATCTATGCTGCTCTTCTGTAGAGTATTGTGACTTTTAAAAAAAGGACGGGTTATTTTCTGGGAGTCAAGGTGCATGTGATGGACTGTTGCTCTGTCTAGAAGTAGCAAATCCAGACCATGATATTATAGAATGCAACTATGAAATATCTGGTACTATTTCCTTCCTGGAATGCACACTTCTGATTACAATAGTGGTACCGAAAGAAAATAGAAAGGGAGAAATTAGAAACTTCAGAATTGGGAGTAAAGGGGTTCTCAGCAATGTGAACTGCAGAGGGAAATACAGGTACCAGTGCATAACTTCACACCACTCTAAAGAGGGTGGCAAAACCAGAAAGTGGTATCAACAGAATTAAGATAAACAGAGAAAGCATTTAATTAAGCTCTTAAAAAAAAAAAAAAAGTGATGGATTGTTGTATGGGTAGAAGACAGTTTTGAGCCTTGAGCTGAGAGAGAAAACTGCATTTATTAGCTCAGAGCCCTGGGAGCACAATTAGTGCTGCACTCAAGAAATTGGCATCCATAAGCTATTCTTGCCTATTTGTAGGAGCAGCTCCACAGGGTTGGAAGACAGATTCTGGAGTCGGCTGAGAAAAGAATATCTACTCCCAAATGAATCCTGTCTTCAAATACTCAGGCTGTCTACTGCTCTATGATAGCATTTAAGTCTCTCTCTTCAATGCTCTAAGATAAGGAGCAGAAGTGTCCTTGTAAGTTCAAATGCCAAGGCAAAGTGAAGCTTAGAGGTTCATTTTAAGATGCATACATTCAAGATTTAAGGCATGAGAACTTTTTTCTTGCCTTCACCCTCTTCCACTCCACTTGTCTTATTCATCTTTCACTTACTGCTGCTAAACAGATAGTAAATCTCTAGATGGAAATTCTTTACAGGTATCTAGCTCAAAAAGATTCTGCTGCTTAAATGGTGCTCTTGCAAAATCTCTGCGTAGCAATCTAAAGTAGAATTAGCTTGAATTAGTTCACCGGTGAATTAACATATTTAAACTGAATCTAGCAATATCAGAAACACAAGTTGCTCAGGAATCTTTGCTTCAGACCACTACTGCACTTCAACTATGTAGAGAAAACTGCTGGTGTGGTCACAGTATTCTGAACTGATTTCAATATTTGAATTCACAAGCATTCAGAATAATATGAGAAGGGGTTTTTTTGGCACAGCAGGTAAAATCCTGGGTTTTTCCTTTGGAAAATACAATTTTTCTTCCAAATTCTGTCGAAGAGAAAAACAGCTGTAAAGTTGAAATATCATATTTCATCACTGAGGGATTATGCTGTTTTTTTTTTTTTTTTTACAAAATTCTATTATTCTATTTATTGTGTGAAAGTTAAAACAGCAAAAATTAATAGAAGAGTTTCTTTTTTTTTTTTCTTACTGAAATGCTTTACTTAAGGTAAAGCCATTTTCTTCCCTTCACAAAGAACTTGGAAGTTTCATTTGTTTAATCCTGTCTAAAATAGAGTCATTTTCCAGATTCTTCAAGCTCCCTAGCCAAATATAATTTCTGTCCTTTGCTTCACCTTTCAGCAGGCATATATTTTAGTTTAGTATGCATATGGATAGACTGACTATAGCCCTCTTGCCTAACCTATGTTCATCCCAGCCATCAGTGGCATTTCTAGAGAAACTGGGGAAAAAAATATTGTCTGGCATTTGTCCGAGCCACTGTGGAAGCAGAAGCTCTTCACCACTAAATGCCTGTATGATGTGCTACTCTCCTCCTTCCATTTTCTTATGTCATTCTTTTCTCTCCTTTCCCACCCAGGGTGATACCTGTTCATAACTGTCATTCCCTTGGTAATCAGAGCCAAGTGCGTTCAGGGCCATGCTTCTCACAGGCTCCTCAGTAACTTTTCCCCATGGGCTATAGGGATCAGGACTTAACTGTGAGTCAGAGATGAAGCAGATTTTTCACGACATGGTTGTACCTACAAGCTGGCAGTACGTGGCTGGCATAGACTGAGCTACCTCGGTGGGGTAGAAGGAGTTAAGGCATCAAAGGCAACAAATCCATGGGGTTGGAGAAGACACTACATCTGAAGGGGAGCAGGGGTTCTGGTCTGCAGAACATGCCAAACGAGACAAAATCGGGGGAGATAGGTGTCTTCGAAGAGGTTACAAAGCATGGTACAGATGTTCTTCATTCGTTCTTTCAGGAAACAAAGCAGCAGAGGGGTCGTGGATACGAAGTGATTTCTGCTTCATGTCTTGTGTATGTTGCTATGGCAGAAGGATGCCTAATGCTGTCTGTAACAAGAAAGCGGAGGCAGGACTTACTGAGGCCTGACTATAATCTTAATTCGTAATAAACTTGAATTTTATGTAGCAGAAGGAACTACTGTGATAATCTTCTGTTGCCACTTGTATAATACAAACCAGTATGATATGAGAGAGAGTCACCAAATAAAATCTCAGATCAACGATTTGAAAGGAAAGAGTTGCTAAAAGAATATGTTGACTTTGGAAAATACCAAGCAAATCTGTGCCATGTACATTCTTCATATCAGAGTACAGTATCTCATTATACATTTCTCTTCCACAGCATGAGGATGACCAAAGACAGTTCAATCTGAATCAGCTGTTGGAATATACTTGTGCTTGGAGACTGACTCGGTAAGAACATTAGTAGTTCGCAGTAGCTGTGTTTGTAATTGTTTGCGTTTGGAATGAGTATCCTGGCCCTACAGGACAGAATCCCAAGACCTACTAGGGACAGGGATGATACCAAAGAGAAAGAAAATCGGTTAGATGTTTAAAAGTTTTTTTTTTTTTTTTTTGGCAGACCTTGCTGGTTGCTTGGCAAAAATTAATGGCCATTTGTAGATCTGTGTAATTTTTTTCCTGTTCTCTCCCTTTCATTCTTTGAAGGTTTCATTAGAGTTCTCATGTTTCACAGAGTTTCCTGGGGTTGAAGGATTCATGATTTTCAAGTGCATGTCACTCTTAAGGAGAGAATCTTAAGAGTACATACTGTAGAAACAGTGAGTTTAAACTTCGTTATGCCTGTGGTTTCACAGTTCAGTGGTTTTTTTTTTTTAATTGAAGCTAGTTGTGACAAGTTCTTAACTTAATATCTCTGACTTTAAAGCTAACCTATCATGGACAAGCACTTAAATGAGATGGATTCCTCATTCGGCTCTCATTATGTTCCATTTCATTTCCCTTTCTGCTTAGACAAAGAAGCTATTAACCGGTTTTTTAATGTTTTTCATCAACATATCATAAAGTACCACACCTGTTATTTACCAGATGGGGGAAAATAGAGAGGTAGAAACTTTTTGACTATCTGATGTTAACTGAGGACCCATCTGGTTTCCTGGGAGCATGGCCCAAACTTTCATTCTGATCCTTACTACAAAGGATCAAACCAATCATACAGTCTATACATGTACCACTCATTCACTGTTTTGTTTCTTGTGTTATAAAGTGTGTGACCTTTTCCATTGTAAAGAGAGTCTTCAGAAAGGATAGGTGAAAAAATTTGTTGAGTTTCAAATTAAGTGTGTGTCTCAAGATGTTTTCTGATCGTGTATGGCAATGAATAACTAATCGCATAGGCAATAAATAGTTTATTTCTTCACCTACAAGTTCAGTAAATGTCTCTTACTAAATACTGAAAAAGTAAAGGCATGAGCTGTGTTTGTGCACTTTTTCCTGCTTGTCCCATGGATTGTTGATGGATAGGAGAAAACAGTTTCCAGCAGTGGGGACACAAAAATACCTGTACTCAGGCTCTGCGCTCTCAAATTCATTTCTAAGTTAGTTGGAGGGAAAACAAGATTAATAGTTAAGTACCAAAGTTTGCTGACTATAATATGCAGAGTAGTAAAAACAGGAGCTGCCAGTGATGAATTGTGGAAGGACTTTACAATACTGAGTTGACTATGTGATAAAATGGCAGATGAGATTCTGTGAAGATAAATATAGATGGGAGGAAGCAATCCTAACATTACATATGTAATCATAGGCTCTTGTGTTGACTTTTGCCACCAGGAATGAGTTTTTGGGGTTATAAGAAATAATTCTGAATGTCAACTTTGGTGCACAGTGTGGCTGCCAGAAGGATGAAACAAACGGTGGAAATAATTATTACAAAAGGAATGAAAAACCAAAAAACTATGTTATGCCACAGTATAAATATATGTTACATATATATATATATATCTTGAGTACTGTGTGCAGTTCTGGTTCTCCATTTTGAATAGAATATAATACAATTGGAAAAAGTGAAGAGAAGGGGAGCAAGGATGATCAGAGGTATGAAATGCCTTCCATATGAAAAATAAATAAGTAACCTAAGATTCTTCGTTCTGATTAAGAGCTAGTAGAAGATGGGTATTTCATAGATGAGAAGTCTATGAAATTATGAGGAGCATAGAGAAAGTGCATAGAAAATGATTTTTTACTATATCTTGCAATGCAGGAATAAAGGAGCATCAAGTGAAAGTACTAGATTCAAAGCAGGCAAGAGGAGGCCTAATTAAGCATTGGAGATCCTTGCCATGACACATCAGGGATGATTAAAGCTTACATAGGTTCAAAAAGTAAGGAGGCGATCACAGAACAGATTGCACATGGGTGTGACCCTGGGGATAGCTCGTGTCAGGGACTGCTCTCTGCAGGCCGTGTCCACCTGACTGCGCCTTGCAGGGCTCCCTGCCCGAGTAGAGTCTTAGCATCCTTAGCAGCTGGGCTTGTACCCTCAGCGTCTCTGTTTGTGCTCAAGACTCGCTCTAGGGCATGCATTGCATGCCTTCCATGTCATGATACAGAAACTCTTCCTGTTATGTTGGGCATTTTGAACTGAAACCTCTTTTAAAGAGTGAAGAACCACATGCCCTAGTAGCACTGTAGACCTATAGGGGGCCAGGAGAAGACTCTCACTGGGTGTGATGCAGTATGCACACCACTGGTTCTCACTTATTACGGCTAGCTGCGAGTATTGTGAATGTAAGCCTTTCTGCACTCCTTCACATAGCCATCAAAAATCACTGCCTGGAACAAATTTCTTTAGCAATGTTCACATACTGATTTTCCCCATTAGATTCAACTAGTTTGAATTGAAAGCACTGGCACACTTCTGTTGAGAGAGGAGTTGAATTTGAAGCATAACCAAAGTTGTAATCAGGTGAGCTCTACAGTGAAGAAAAGCCCTTTTTCCTGTAATTAGCTGCCATAGTGTTTTTTTTTTTTTTCTGTGGGTAGGTCAGTCAATAATACCACACATTGTCGTACCAGCTGTGTGAGACATAACAGGTGACATCTTTGTGTCTATTCTGCACTGGAAGGTATGTTTGCAGCATGTTATAATTTTATATCTAGGTGGAGCTGCAGTAGTCATGGAGAGGCAGTGGAATAGGCTCAACATAGGCTGTACAAATCTGCTTGACACATAGGAAGGCTGACAGATTACCTTCCCATGTTGTTGTGTCTTCAGAGCTGTGAGTATCTAGGTTAGCTGAATTAAATAGTGCTCAGGGTTGTCTATACGTACTGCAGTTATATTTCTGATTGTAGCATACAAACACCTCTGTCTTATTGAACATATTGATTGAGATGGTCACCATCTGCTTAGATCCAGTAGGGAAGGGAAAAGGATTGTTTCAGCTGGTTTGGGATTAAGTAAAAAGAAGGAATTGGAGCCTGACCTCTGGAGTACTAGATTTGCTGTTGCAGGCAAGCATATAACGAATGAAACCAGCAGCCCCTGCGTTGCTTCTCTCGCTGTTATTCATAGCTTGAAAATCAAACACAATGTAAATCTACAAGTATGTCAGCAGAACTGTACCCATTGTACCAGGGCTGAATTTGGCCCATAATCTCTGACATCAAGGTGCCAATAAATATGACACGGTAGCTAAGCTGACACTTGCAGTAAGGCAGAGGTTGTTGAGGCAGCTTGGTGATAAATGGCCCTTTGGAAAGGAAACCTGGCAACATTCCACAGGAGGTGCTGCTGCTGCTGCCAGGAAATTAAGAAATAAGTGCTGTAGGTGTTTGCTGTGTGTGACTATCTACTTTCTCCCATACAGACAAGTCAGGATCCAAGTCTGATTCTCCTAAGTTGTTGATGCTTTTCTTTTCAAAACTGTTCTACTCTATTTCCATGCTAAAAGATCCGAGGGATTTCTTCAGGACCCCCAAAGAAGCATCGAATGTTCATGGATTATTTAGCATTGCCGTATTTATGCACAGCTATCACAGATGTGCAAGTCTGTGGTGTTTGTGTATAAATATATAGGTATTATTAGTTATCTAGCAGCCAGAGATTCAGGATAGCATTGATAGAGAGATATTCTGATCACTGTAACAAGCTTTTGGGGTGTTTTTCTTATTTATTATATAAAATTATGGCTGCTTTATACAGAAAAGTCTCTAGGGTGGAATAAAATGATGGAAAATATGCTAATTTTTTGAATTAGTGTTATAACTTATGAAATTATCCTGAAACCTGCATTTAGACCAAGCATGCTAATGAATATGCTTACATGTGTGCATCAAAGCAACAGGGAAAGCTCTTACGTTCAGAACTACTTTTGAGTTGGGCAATGCTATGAAAAAGACGTTGTGCCTGGAGAGTTGCTCAAAGCAAAGTAACAACTTGTATTAGCTATGACATAACAGGATTACAGGAGGAATTGCCAGGCAGCTTCTCAATACACAAACTGCCTGGTTAGATAAGGCTAGTGCAAAGTTGCAAATAAAAAATTGCAAAGGCAAAACCATTTGTAGGAGGAGCTGAATATTAGGCACCTATGGGGAAATGTACTCTGGTACTAACACCTGAAATTTCTCTATTCTTTGTAACGAATTTCAGTGGAGTAAGTATATTTCCTCCTCTTGACATACAAAACATAATAATCTAACCAGGTGCTATATAACCTGTATCCTGGACCATGGCTGCAACTCTGATCTCTGACTGCTCAGTTAGCCCAACTTAGAGACATGATCTATTGTTGATGCAAAAATTTACTATACAAATACTCCATTTACTCTGAAGCAAACAAATATCTGTGTGGTCTTCCGCTACTAGTCTGCAATGGCGGAAAATTCCTTCTAAGCCCTCTAAAGAGAAAAAACACCAGTGCAAAGGGAGAGTGGGAAATCTGGGAGAAAAATAATCAAGGAAAAAGTGATAAGAGTATAACAAACAAAAAACACCAAGGAAGGAGTGTAGACTGAAACTCCTCATTTTTCCTACAAGCATACATATTCCCTGACACCTACCACAAAGTACCATCAAGGCAATAAGGTGGCCATCTTACCAGCAAGTATGCTAGAGATTGTGTGGAAGTGAGAATTAAGGTTTCCCTGCCCTCAGCTGAGGATTCAGCCCTAGAAGAGGCTGTCAAAGGAAAATGAAGATGTATTCTTGAGCATAGTAACCATACCAGGGCCTCATAGGCACTTTTTTCCTTTTTTTCCAGCCCACAGGTAAATAGTAACTAGAATTTCACTGTGCAGAAAACACAATAGGATTAAAACCAGAAAGAGACACAAGTGCTCTTTAAAAAGTAAAACTCCAATTCTGGTTATCTGCTGGAGCCTTTGGTTCTAAAAGGATGACGTTTACAGCAGAAGCTTTGGTCGTGCAGTTCAATGTAGAGAGTTTTGTATTCCCATTCATAACCCCACTGAATTTAGTGAAGCTTTATGGAGGCACAGTAGTCTGCTTGTATAAACTTTATGGCAGTTTTTGTAACTGAAAGGTAGCATGGCACTACAGTGTGGCAGAGGTCTACATACAGGAGTAGTATCAGTTAAACCAGTTTTCACGGCTGGATCGAATGACAAAGAAAATAAATCCATAGCATGAGTAATAGTAGGTAAAGGCAGTCACTGAATTAGTTTGAAAACTAAACATCAGAAATGTAAATAAATGAAGTTGCATGATATCCGTAGCAATGGTGCCCCTTTTATTAATGCACGTTTTCATACTTGTGACTTAATATGGGCTTTTAAACTGTAGAGGTTTTCCAGATGTTTTCCAGATGTTTTACCTGATTCTCTGCAGCTTTGCAGTCTATGATAAAGTAGTTTGGGAAACAAGGCATTGTAGCATGTAGTTAAATCCGTCCTTCTTCAAGGTAATATTTAAGCATATGCTTAGCCTTAAAGAGTGAAATAAATAGGATCTGAGGTTAAATAGATACATTAGTAAGCCACTTACTGGAGTTCTTTCACCTGTGAAATGTGTACCCTCCAGGTCAAAGTAGAAGAATTTTACATACATACTTTATGTGGCAAATGACCACCAAAGAACTGTGGAGAACCAGGCCGAATGTTACATGAGGTCTACATAACTGCTTGTCTTTGTTTTATACCAACATAAAATCACTGACAGTTAAATTATTTTTGGTTTATACAATGTGAAAAAATAACACCTGTGCTCTTTATCCATTTGCTATTAATTTGATGTTGTTTTCTTTTTTTCCAATTTCCAGACAGAACCTTGTCTCAATTATTATGAAATACAGAGGTCAAGTGGAGTATCTATTGCAAAATGAGGTATTTGTTCTTAGTCTGTTATACCAGAAAAGCATTAACTTCCATATGAAAGGTATCTAATTATTAATCTGTCTCAGATGCGATTAAAGAGGACTTTTAATTAAAGCTGTTTAACCTGACTTGGAAAGGGTATGAATTCTCTTAACAAAATTTGACTTGAGATTAAGAAAAAAGTGCTACCAATTTAAAATATCCAAGATGACTGTTTCATATTGTCAAGGAACCTGTAAAGAAAAGCAGGATCATTTTGTTTGACAGTTTAGTACTTGGAACTAACAGAAATAAAGTATACTATATGTAATGGCAAAAATTTTTCCTGATTTTTGCAAACCTACAAGCAAGGGTTTAACTATTTAGGATATATATTCAAGCATGAGATTATTTGCAGGGTTACATTTAGGCCGCAAAACTCGTAAGGGCTTTCTTTTAAAATATTTGGGACTGCTCCATGCTTTAAGGAAATCTTAGGAAACCTTCTCTGCTAACTAATGTTTTAGGCGGTATTCAAACTCAAAGGATAAATGCATATTTGGCTTGGAAGAAGCCAAATGGTTATTTGATTTGAGTTTCAGGTTGTGATACTAACTGACTTTCTAGAATTTGGAACTGGCAAGAAGACAGAGTTTTCTGATTAGGAAAATCAAAAAATACCAATGTAGTGGCATGAAGATACTCCAGTGCATCTATTCCAGCATATTTTAACTGATTATGCTAAAGTAGGAATTTTTTTGAAATGTAAGTTAAAACATAAAATTAGTATTTTGTTTCAGAAATCTGTCACCTGTATTGAAGTTCAGTTTTCATTCTTTCTGGATATTCTTGATATTTCTATTTTGAATAACCGGAAAGTGTATACACACACATACATGTTTACATACAGGTGTGTATATATGTATGTGTGCATACACATATGTACATATATGTATTAATTTATACATACAATTATACAATTATATTGATTATATTATTATTTATACAATGTATATGTGCATATATGTATTTAATACATATATGTGCATATATGTATTAAACCATGCAAACACACATTTATGTACAAATGTACACAAATGCATATGTAAATATATGTGTAAATAAATATATTTAGATAAAAATAGTCCATGTTTTTGTGTAAATGCTTGACACTTCTTTTGTAGAATGCACACAAATTTAAAATCTGTCAACTTGTGCCTAAAATTCTGGAGCAGGGCTCTGATTTTGATATTGTGTAGGCATTCATTGAAATTTCCTTCTGTGAGCAACCTCTCAAAGGGGACTATTTAGTGCGTAAAATGTGATGGAGGTATAACCATTGGGAAAATTGAAGTCTCCAAACTCGAAAGTGTGTATATATATGTGTGTGTGTGTGTATATGTGTATGTATGTATGTATATACTGCTTTACTGAAGAAGACCCATGAGTTTGCTTACTCACATTCACTTGAAATGTTGGAGTCTAAAGTAAAAAGATTCCAAATTCAAAGGGAGCTATATTCTCAAAATTAATGAGGCATTACAGTCCACCCTTTGCAATCAACACTAGGTGGATATTCCTCAGTCCTATAATGGAGCTCTCTTAAATTTGTTTTTGCTAAAGATTTTTATGCTGAGTAGGCAGGCAATTACTTGAGATCGTTAACTTATTTATAAAGGGAAGACAGGACACTTCTGAAATATTCATGCCATACAACAAACGTGTGTTTTACTCTAGAGCTAAATTTCTCTGTAGTTAATAATATTTTTTTTGTTTTAACAAGGTCTTGTCTGCCCAGGGACACTGAGAAAAGGGCATGTGAATTGATTAAAAGAGCAGGGTTGTAAGTTAATGTTACAGGTTAAATAACCATGCACTTGTTTTCATTCAGAAGAATTATAATGTATGGAGTTTTTTCAAGCCTGTAATACTAAGAACTAGTGATACTGGTTTGCTTTAATAAATGGCTTGAAAAATTATGGAGCTGTAATGTATAAGTTATAATCATGAATTAAGAGTAACGGAAGCAAACAAGAAAATGAAAACGCTTGAGTCAGTCTCTGAACCCTAAATTGTTCATTTGTTTTCCATAAAGTCTGATTAGATCAAATTAAGAAGGTTTTAAATTGGGATATCTGTAATTGCCCCCCACCATCGCGAGGTTAGGTAGGAGTAATTCTGTTGATTTTTCAAAACTGGCACTCACAACAGTGGGAGAGTCAAGACCCTTCTTCTGATCCACCACAATCCACTCAGCACACACGGAGCTTTAGGCCGGGGAGAGTTACCCACATGTACTAACTTAAGTACACATATACCTGCTTAAATTCTGTGCTCAACTGGGACTTCCTTTAGCATACAGTTTTAATCTGGCAGGTCTTGAGATCCTCCATTTAAAACAAAAATCAGTCATTTATTAGCACATTTATCTATGTACTACCAAATGCGCTCATTCATGGGTGTCTGTTAAAAATTCTTGGGGATACTGATTCCTGATTTCTCACTTCCATGGCAAACCCACTGTCCTTATTATTAATAATGACTAATAAATGGCAAACTCATTTTGTGATAGATAATAGCTTTACAAAATGAAAAGGCAAACAAAGGAAAAAACATTTGGCACAAGGGGAGGGATCGATGCTATTGGGGTTGAAAAGTATAGGATTTTCTTAAAGAGCATGTGCAGTCAGACAACTAGCCGTTCTGATTGTTCTGATAATCATTCAACATGTACTTCATTTTTAAATCTACTCAAAATGTACCATTTAAGAAAACTTTTTAATTTGTGCAGTGTAGAAGAAAAGATTTTAATTTTTGTAGTGTAGGAGTGGACTGTAGAAATTCTAGAATGAAGTACTATTTTTATCATATAAGTAATTTAAACACCAAAATATCCTTCAAAGGTTCTGCTGGTATTTAAATATGTAGGGGAAAAACAAGTTACACAGCATGTTGACTATATTCATTTTCGATTTTTAAGAAACTTTTCTGTCCTGCTGTATAGCTACTGCTCTGTTCAAGGATTACCCTCGTATGTCTCTAATGCTAGCATGCTACTCAGAGGCAGCTTTCCCTGTGTATGTCATTTTATAGACATAAAATCCCTCGTGCTAATGTTCCATATCCACATATGAAGAAAAACATTGAGTTAAAATTAAAATTAGTTAACAGTTTTATTTAAATTTTTCATTACAAAAATGTGTGTGTGTAGATATATATACATTTTTACATGGGCTAATTTACTGTGCATATTCTGTGCACTGCATATTCTGCATTTACTGTGTATATTCTTCATAACTGCACAGTAAACCAGCTTTTATAATTATTTGATTTTGTCATTATTATAGGTGGTAACAAAGCCGTCCCATTTTTAGAACTTCCTACTTTTATTGGCAATATATATGTGCGTGGAGAGGAAATTCTGCAGGAGTTCAATTTAAAAATCCAGGCGGTAGGGAAGAAATACGAGAGAGGAAAATGCACTGCTTGCAAGTTGCCAGAAGGGTGAGTCAGGTTCAGGCTGAAGAAAGGTCCAAAGTTCTCAAGCCTTTTCCTTTCTCTCCAATACCTGGAATATGAAAAGGTTTTGCTGTTTTTAATTGTATTTACAAAAATCAACTTACGTGTAAAAGAATTCTGACCATTAAATATTTGAGGATATTTTATCTAATTTGCTCCTGCTTTAGTTTTACTCAAGGCAGTTAAACATGGTACCAGTCAACTCAACACATTTTTATATTTACTTATTTTAGTGACAGGTATTAGCCTTCTCAGTACGGATTGGTTATAGATCTTAAGCTTGAAAATAGAAAGTTCATCTTAGTGCAATTTTCTTTCTTAGACATGGAAATAGATGAGCTACAGAAATGGTTTTATCAGTACACCGACATGCTGTAGCTCACTGAAAGGAACAGTTATCAGTACAGAAACATGGAAAATATGTAATAGAGGAGCTTCTGCTTGTACAGGGAATTTATTTTAAGCTTTAAGGAAGTCATATACAGGCACAGGAAACCTATGAAGTTTTTTTTTTTTAATGTATTAATTTCAGAAATATAGGATATTTGATATTTAAGGTGCTGGCACTTTCCTTCCTTTAGGACTCAAATTTTGTTCTTAAATTTTCCATATTTACCTGAAATGATTCATCTAGGGAATCTTTTAAATGGTAATATTTAAAAATCTATGTTTATTATCAATATGATTTAGTAGTTTGAAAATATGTATATATAATTTTTTTTTGAAGAAGAAAAGCTGGTTGCAAAGTACTCAATCCACAGGTGTCAGATTGTGCTGCCTCCCACACCACTACTTTTAGGAGGAAAATGACTCTCTGCCATCTCTCACTGATGTAGGAGGGAGACGATAGCAGGGATAAATTCATAGTTGCATAAAAGCCTCAGAACATTTGTGAATCATTTGGGTTCAAGATTCCTCAGAGGTTCCTTTACAATGCTTCTGCACTTCAACATTTTGCCTCAGTATCAGTGTTAAAGACTAACTGTGGCAGTTTTCAGCAAAGCAGATTTCTTAGAAGATGCTTGGGCTTTGACAAAAATTATGCTTTCCTTAGGAGACTAATGATCACTAGCAATCTCAATATATATCAGCCATCTCAGATTTATGCATTATGTGTTTGAGTTTTGAATGAGGAGGTGTAGATATGATTTTCTGCATGCTCACTATTATCAAGTTTATGGTAAGGTGTTTCTATTAAATAGTATATGTCTGTTTTTGTGTTTTTCTTTCTCTGCCATCAACAGCATGGAGCGGATAATGTGATTGAAGCAGCTAAAGCAATCTGCAGTGCCCTCTGTTTTGTGGAAACCAGAGCCATTACTGATGCAGTCAAGAAACTCCGTGCAGTGCCATTGGCAAAAGCACAGGTAAAGGGTGCACTGAAGCCTTTGTAAGGCTGCCTTGACAAGCTGATATCCGGTTTTCTCTTTTAAACTCGAGCTTAAGTAGGTGTCATTCATGTTCTGATTGATCAAGGTGATAGGCCCTCATACTGTCTTACTGCTCATTTCCTCTGTGAGAGCACAGCTAACAGAGGCAGCGAACAGACACAGCAGTTTGTGCAGCAGTGTCTGGGCTCTGCTTGGGCCTTTTGTGGACCTTGTTAGAAGTTTTGGAGGCTTCCTGGGGACTCCTGGGGAACTAGACGGTGCTTGTCGCTAGTAGGAAAGGAGAGCTAGGCAAGGACAACTGCAGGAGGCCTTAACTTCTCCTGGGAAGCTCTAGCTAGGTGTGGCTGCTGCTAACGAGCTCCCTTGGTTGCCCCTGATTAGAGGGAGTAGGAGGCCTTTGATCCAGGTGGCTGCACCCTGTGAGTCCCTGCTAGGCAGAGGCCTATATAAGAGCCAGGCCTAGAGTGCAGCTAACAGAAGTAGTAGTTTGTGCAGAAGGGCACCAGAGGGCACCTGCATTTCTTGTAGTAGTGTGTGCTTCCTCAGGTATGGTCATGACATTCTGCAGAGCATGTTCCCCAGTGGCTGTTGGAGTTGCTACATCAGCTGTGTCTGAGGCTTCAACCCAGACAGACCCTCAGACAGCAGATGCAGCTCTGCAGGTGTCAGGCTGCAGGGAGTGCCTAGGGCCTCTCCGTGAGGCCTGGGCTGATAGCCAGCTCTCCTGTGTGAGGTGTACTGTGGTTGATCGGTTATATCGCTAGATAAAGGAGTTACGGGAGGAAGTCAGTAGGCTGCATACCATCCGAGAAGACGAGCAAGAGATAGACAAGGTATTCTCGGAGACCGTGCAGCTCCAGGAGTCCCCACTCACCACTGCAGCGGAGTTGTCGGAGGGCTCTGTACCGTGTGTGACGGTGCATCATAACGCTGTTGAAGAAGGCTGGAAACTGGTCACTTCTTGTAGAAGGAGAAAGGCTCTTGTTCCTCCTGAAGACCTGCCTTTGAGGAACAAGTTTAGTGCCCTCCAGGCTGAGGAGGAGCTGGGCGTAGCTTCAAGGGAAGCTACTGGCCTGACAGACCTGTGCCATGCAGGAACAGCCAGAAGAAGCAGCGAGTGATTGTTGTGGGTGACTCCCTGCTGCAGGGGACAGAGGCACCTATCTGCCAACCTGACCTCTTGTCCGGAGAGGTTTGCTGCCTGCCAGGAGCTCGAATAAGCGATGTCCTGGAAAGACTGCCAAGGTTTGTCCATGCATCGGACTACTACCCTCTGCTGTTCTTCCGTGTGGGCACTAATGACACCAAGGGCAAATTGGATACCATCAAACAGGATTTCAGAGCTCTGGGGATGGTGGTCAAGGGTCTGGGAGCCCAGGTCATTTTCTCCTCGATCCTGCCTGTGAGGGGAAAGGATGGGAGGAGGAGTAGACAGATTTTCCAAGTTAACAACTGGCTGTGCCACTGGTGTTGGCAGCAGGGTTTTGGTTTCTATGACCATGGTGCCCTGTCTGAAGATTGAAAGCTGATGGAGAGAGATGGGATCCAGCTTACCAAGCAGGGCACACGTGTCTTTGCCAACAGGTTGGCCAGCCTGGTGAGGAGGAATGTTACAGAGTGGAATGTTACAGAGACCACTTATGCAAACCTGACATCCACAAATCCATGGGCCCTGATGGGATGCACCCACGAGTGCTGAGGGAGCTGGTGGATGTTATTGCTAGGCCACTCTCCATCATCTTGGAAAGGTCCTGGAAAACAGGAGAGGTGCCTGAAGACTGGAAACCAATGTCACCCCAGTCTTCAAAAAGGGCAAGAAGGAGGAGCCAGGAAACTACAGGCCAGTCAGCCTCCCCTCCATCCCTGGAAAGGTGATGGAACAGCTCCTCCTGGAGGTCCTCACTAAGCATGTGGAGGACAAGAAGGTGATCAGGAGTAGTCAGCATGGATTCACCAAAGGGAAATCATGCTTGACCAATCTGATAGCCTTCTGTGATGGGATGACTGGCTGGGTAGATGAGGGGAGAGCAGTGGATGCTGTCTACCTGGACTTCAGCAAGATTTTTGACACTGTCTCCCATCACATCCTCCTAGGTAAGCTCAGGAAGTGTGGGTGGGATGGGTGGACAGTGAGGTGGATCGAGAACTGGCTAGATGGCCAAGCTCATAGAGCCTAGTTGGAGGCCTGTAGTTAGTGGTGTCCCCCAGGGGTCAGTACTGGGCCCAGTCTTGTTTAACGTATTCCTCAATGACCTGGAGGAAGGGACAGAGGGC